CCCAGGATATCATCAATGTAATCGCATAATACGGATTGGATTTGAGCTAAATTTTGAATTGTGAAGGATCTCAAAAGAAAATATAGAAACAGATTTTATAACTAATGGTGAGATACAATGAAGAGAGTGAGCAGGGCCCAGATATTTATGGTTTGAATCATTTTATACCACATGTTGATGTTGTGCCGCGCATCTGTACCCACTCAAGGAAATTATAGGAAATGAGATAATTAGGAGAAATTCAAAAGAATCAAAACAATAAAACTTTCGAGGACTAGCATTATCTTTGAATAAGAACTATTCGATAGTTAAATCTTGATTTGTATTAACATCTACTCCTCGTAATGTAGGCTAAGAAAATTTGATATTATGGCCGATGTATGTTGGGATTCTTTCAATTTAACAATTTAATTAATAATTACAGAGATTCAATTCAGTGTTTCTTGTGCAGTTGCAATTTATGAGTTATAGGAGAATCTTAAAAATATTTAAATTTTATTGTAGTTCAATTATAATTTTTTTAACCAATTAAGTTCAATTATAATTTTTTTAACCAATTAAGCTCTATTGATAGGAAGGCGTGGTGAATCTTCACCCCCTTAATCTTGTCTCTTGCTCTCAAGCATAAAAAGTTGAGCAAATGCGCTTCTCCAAAGTCCCATATGTCAAAGATATGTAAATCCTCTTAAGAATGGCTTAAATAGATGAAAGAATTCTTATTTTGGGTAAAAATCACATAATGGGCCATAATTGGATCGTAAAGTGGTGCTACTTACAACGCGCTCTTCCACTAACCTAAGTGGTTGATTCACTCCTTCGTGCTTACTCTATGTCCTTCTAGATTCATCCTATCTCTTATTCAACTCACTTTACCTACAAAAATAACATAGATTAATCAAATATGTCAGAGGAGCATGGTTAATGTTTCCTAGCCAATTAACTTGAAGTTTTCATGCTTTAGGCTTGATTTGAGAGTACATTATTGGGTTTAATGTCTCTTATGTTATAGAGATAATCTGTCCCCTACACACACATAATTAAAAAACTGTGCGAGGCCAATATTTTTTTTTGCTCTTCTCTGTAGATGATCCCACATGGACCCTATACATTTTTATGCGCGTGTAGGGGATAATGTTATTTCCTACAACATGAGAAATATCAAACCCTTACTTATTATGATTTTAGTGTTATAAAACAGGATAAACAATTACTATAGTGGGTTGGATTAACCACCCTTCAGATATTTCTCACCAAAAAAATAATGTAATGTTTTTTTTAACACAAACATCCAATATATATAATCTAGCAAAATGTTAACATTCTTTCAATTTTATAAACAATAACACTTAAATACAAATTAAGTTCCTAAATACCTCCCAATTACGGACAAACTTTTTATTTCCCTAATAGGAACGGATTTTTTCCGTCCCTAATAGGGACGGATTTTATATTTTTCGTCCCTAATAGGGATGTATTTTTTATTTTCCGTCCCTAATAGGGACGGATTTTTTCCGTTCCAATTAGGGATGGATTTTTTCCGTCTCTGTTAGGAATAGATCTATATCTCATCCATAATTTTGTCTCAAGTTGGGACGGACAATGTTCTGTCCCAAATAGGGACGGAATTAGGGACGAATTGTAGAAATAAAAAATATTTCATCCCTAATTCCGTTTCAAATAGGGACAAAATATTTTTTCATCTCAAAATTCATCCCTACTAGAGATAGAATTTCATCTCAAAATTCATCCCTACTAGAGATAAAATTTATTTCATTGCTAATTTCGTCCCAAATAGGGACAGACTGTCTTTTCCGTCTCTAGATCCGTCCCATTTAGAGATGGAATTAATTCCGTCTCTAAATTCTGTCCCTAATTCATGTTTTTTTAGTAGTGCTTTACCTGCTTCGGAAAATTTAAAACATTAATAATAATTTAATAATATTTTTAATTGATCAACTAGCTGCCCATACCTTAATTTCAATTTCTTCCAGTAGTGGTTTTCTTGAATTGTATGTATGATGATTATTTTAGAGCTGTATTTTATGTACATATGACTTGGCAATGTCTCTCCAAAAACTTTATATTATATTTGTCAAGAATCGGTTTAGGTAGGCTTAATCATAAATGTATGATTTGTCAAAATTCTTTTCATATGATGCATACAATAATTAATGTATTTGTGCATAGAAAAAATGGAAAAGGTTATATTTAAAAAAAATTTGTTTACACACTACATTATATTTTATTGAACAGACGTAATGTAATTTATAAATTTATATATAAAATAAAATTATCAATATAATCCTGTTCTAAAAATATTAATAAAATTACTTTTATTGGCTAATTACATTGGTCTAATTTAATGTGCGGGCCATTAAGATTTAAGACTCATAAGAGGTCTCCTAAAATGAGACTTTCATCTACAAAGCACATCTTACACCTCATATATTAGGTGAGTGTGTTTGCCTCATAAAAGTGGGGTCCACTAAAACAAAATGGTTATGGCTAGTCAGGAGGGAATCTTCCCATCTATTTATGGGGAATATTTTTCTCCTTTAACAGTAGAGAAGAGTTGTCTCCTACTGAGACAAAAAAGTGAGACCAGCAATTTAAAAAAAAAAGTAAAAACAAAAACAAAAGCTTGGCACGAAAGTCGATGTATGTGTAGGAATAAAATCTTGTCTCATGTGAAAGGAGAAAAGCATTTCCCTCTATTTATACACCTCTTTCGCCCTTGAAAAGGCACCTTCCACCCAAAATTTTCCAGAGTTGTTATGCTATAAAATTGCCACCACAGAGCCACCGTGGCCACATATTCTCCCTTGATTCTCAGTTTTCGCGTGAGACATTCTTTACGGTGACTTCCATTTAACGTGTTTGGTTGAAGTTTTTGGTGGAGATGTCCATCCATCTGAGTTTGGAAATTGATGTTGTCTTTATTTGGCAGAGGGTTTATAAAAATTTGCTCACTAATATATTTTGCCTAGCAATTGAGAATCAAGTGCAAAAAAAACACAAAATGCACTGTTAAGGTTTACCAACTTGAATGAGATATTTGCATAAATAAAGTGAGAAAAAGTTGACAAAAAATTAGGACAATACTATCCTTTTCTAATCCAATTTTTTTGATAAAATTTTTGCCAACCAAACAATTTTTTTTTTAAATTTTCTTACCAAACTCATTTTCCTACCATATTCTTAGTAATTGTATTTACCTAGTAAAAAAAATATCTCCTCTACCAAATGCCCTCTTAGATCTATACCTTTGTTTCATAAATCACTGTTACATTGAGATATTATACCTGGAAACAAATCTTATCTTTTATCGCCTAAATAGTTCAGCCACTGGAATCCCAATTCCATGAAAAATAATTTATTCTATAATTAAAATTAGCTTTTTCCTTCTTACCAACGTAGTCTCTTGACAAATAGCCATATATAATGCAGATTCTGGAATGCTATCTTCTTTTCCTTTTGGATCAAAATGTTCTTAAATATGACCTGATTGAAAGAGAGGCTATAAAAATGTTACAGTTACAAAAAAGCTACACAATATATCGGAGTGGAGAGAAACAAAAGTTTGACATAAAAACCCTGCACTCTGATTCAGTTCAGGAAATATACCAAGATGTAAACCAGAACAATGGACACGTGTCTATGCGTTTCACCAATGCAATTTTTGTTAAAAGTATCAAGTATCAACTATCAAGGTTACAGTTATTACAAGAGTGGAAGTGGAAGAAACTAACGATAATGGATATGAAAAATATTCTTGTAATTTCATTCTTTCCGATTTCACCCTAAATGTGTACAACTTCATTGAGATTCTGTTACGACCCCACACCCCCAAGAGAGAGCCATACCCAAAAGATTGGTATATGGGTGAGAGAACCCTTGGATTTATTAATAGATTTGAAGTTTTTGTATCTTTAGATATGGGATTCGTAACATTATTATCCCTTTTAAGGGCCGATGTTCACGGTGGCTATATTATATCGACATTGATCGAGTGGTAGTCCTTTTTTCCTTTTGCGGCTTTACTTATTTATAAGTATTCAGTACAATACTCCATTTTTTTTGGAAGGTATGACACTTAATTCAGCTTATTGGTAATCTTTTCTGTGAACTCATCTCTCAATAAAAGCACCAAATCTAAAGGGAGAGCCACCCAAAAATAAACTGTCAATGAGTGGGAGAACCTTGAAGTTATTAATAGATTTGAAGTTATTGTATCTTTAAATGTAAGATTCGTAACAGATTCTAAGTAAATTCTATCATATAAATAAATTACTTAATTGTGGCCTAGTTCACTGAACTGTAGTGCACCATTGCTTCTTGTCAAATGATACTAATGAAGTAAAGTAGTGCCAGCATATACCACAAAAGTTTAGATTTTATGATTTGACTATTGAAAAAAAAACTTCAGTAAGACTTAAATGAATAAAATACATGAATTCAAAACATTGAATATCAATATCAACTTCATGCATGATTGCATGACTTGATTAATTCTAGCAACCTTGAAAACAAGATCAATGACCTCATGGAGTACTACTCCATGACCGCTTTGAACTTAGATCTTCAGCAAGCTTCACTTTAGACTGCACCAATTATTAATGGCAGATATATAACAAGTGCACTATGCTGAACAAACCACTCAAGTTAATAGTATATGCGATCAGAAAGTTCAACAAATAATACATTTTTCTCATTAATCAATTTTCAGGTTCAGGCAAAGTCTCTTGCAAACCTGGAAATGGTTAGATATTTGTAACTACAACTGTAATATGAATATTCAGAAAATTAAATAATGTAAAAACTCTTGTCAAGCACAAAAAGTTCTATAGCAGAGAGTATTACTTGAAGATGATATTGCTTCGGTAAGCTTTCTTTGAATTTCAGAGTAATCACTACCAATCGGATCCTTCAAGGAAATTTATACAAATGAACATTAATAATCAGTTTTAGAACCAAAAATAATCATTACAATTACTGCATGCTTAGTCACAATTAAACAAACATGGTACCTCTAACCGTATAGTGTGCATGAATCTGCCATCTGTTTTGGTGGAAGTACTACTAACCACGTTAAGCCCTTCTTGAAACAACATCTCTAGCACTCTTGACAAAGGAAACACACACTTCCTGAAGCTATAATTGCACATAATCTCAATAAGGCCTCCCGGTAAAGGATGAACAATAACAAAGGGTGGAAGATGGGTAGTACCAGAGCTTCCACTGTCAGGGCTTTCAATAGCACTCAAATTAGATACTTTTATTAACTCATCCCTCTTTGCTTGCAATTGCTTCACCTTATTCCGTAGGTGGTTGATGTAATTCACAGCCTCATTCACGTGATCAGAATTTGAGCGCTTTCCCTAATGATGGTCATCAAGATTTGCAATAAAAGCAACCTATTGGCTAATGGTTTTCAAATAATCAATTACTGTAAACTAGGCAGAAAAAAAAAAAGGCATGTCGTGGGACACAAGACTCCCCTAACTTGTGAGGATAAGGGTGAGAATTGATTGTAAGCAATTTTATCCTTACATTTATGCAAATAGACTGTTTTTCATACTCAAATCTGTGTTATTCATGTCACAAAGAACAATCTTATCGTTGCTTCAAGCAGAAAAATAAATAAATAAATAATTAAATGCTTTACCTTAATATATTCGACAGGCAGAAGAGATCTAAGGGTGGTGCAGAGATCTCCCATCTCTTGTCTTCTTTGTCTTTCTGTCTCCTTATGCATCCACTTCTTGTTTTCGTCCATGGTTATCTTTTAATCTTCTTCTCCCCAACTAGTAGGTACTTTCTCCATTCCTTTTCCTAAAATCACTGCATCAAAGGATCAAACATGATCTGATGAGTGATGATCTTCTGGGGTTGTTTGAGTGGGGAGGGAATAATCAGCATAATGAAAACTAAAAGACCAAATCTTCAGTACTTGGGGTGTAAAGGATTCAGCATAGTGTACACTATCTTTTGGGGTGGCAAAGATACCAAAACAAGAAAATCGAAATATATTTGGTTGTTAGGGTTTGATAAGACTACTTTCCATTTTCCGGATATGCTAGGATTCTCAAATCCTTCCCATGTAAGATAAGAATCCATCTCACTTTTATATTCAGTGCTCTTGTTTATATTTCCTTTCCCTTAGTAAATTAATATTTGGTGGGGTATAGTGTTTTCTCTTTCTTTTGAATGTGAATAATTATCCTTATTCATTTCAAAATTGAAAAGTTAATTCTTATTTGACTACTTTTAAATTGAAACTAAATTAAAGTACAACTAAAAATTTGTAAGTAACTTATTTTTATTTGAACAATTATTTTAAATCTTTTTATTGGGGAAGGATATACTTACCACAAAAAAAGTTTACAACATTTACAACTAATCTAATCACCATTGATTTCCGTCAATCTAACGGTTATAATTTATTGAAAATTATTTGGTCGTATTTATTAATTAATCATTAATTCCCAAAAAATTATAACCGTTAGATTGACGGAAATCAACGGTGATTAGATTGGGGGCAAAGGTGGTAAACTTTTTTGGTAGTAAATATATCCTTCCCTTTTTATTTATTTAAAAGTTAACGTAATTTTTTACAAACAATGTTTTATTCTAAAAAGACTTTTAAATCAAATTTAATAGATATTTATAAATATTTTTAAATAACTAACGTTAATTTTAGTAATTCTAAATCGATTTCTAATTTATTAATTTACAAATTTTATTTTATTTTTCATTTTTTGCAGCATTTTGAGAATCCAAATGTTTCAAGAAAAAAAATTAGGAAATAATCATTTGTTTTTAAAGATCATTGATGAAGTTGCCAAAAGAAAAAAAAATCTATCTCTTTTTCACCATTTTGCCCCTTATTAATTAATTAATAACCATTTTGCCCCTGATTCGAAACTATTTATCAATCTGCCCCTCTTTAGTCGACTACCTTGCATTTTTAATCGACTAAACGGTTGTTGGGAGATTTAATCGACTAAATCTCCCTACTTAATCGATTAAAATCATACTGCCTTGTTTTTTTTTTTTTTTGTAAAATATGAAGATTTAGTCGACTAAATAGGGAGATTTAGTCGACTAAATCTCCCAGCAGCCATTTTTGGTCTGTTTTGGCCATTTAGTCGATTAAAAATTCAAGATAGTCGACTAAAGAGGGGCAGATTGATAAATAGTTTCGAATCAGGGACAAAATGGTTATTAATTAATTAATAAGGGACAAAATGGTGAAAAAGCCTCTCAAAATAAACTAATACAAATATATACTAATTCATTTTTTTTATTCATTCCGACCGAATAAATTAAACTCAAATGAAGTGACTATTTATTTTTATTTTATTTTTGTCTTTATTTTATAGTCATTGACACAAGATCAATTTGCTGGAAAAGATAGGATTGACTACTAATAAAATCGGAAGCTCTCTAAGCAAATGTTTATTCTAATGTTTGAACTCACCACCACATCTAAACTCTTGTTGATCAATTTTTTTTAAAATTAAATATAAAAAACTAAAATATATAATTACTTTTATCATTTTACTATTATGCAAAACCATTATCAACGTTTAATTCTAAGGAATCCATTAATACAAACTTAACTTAAAATACTTAGGAATCAAATTTTATTAAAAAATATTTTTTAGGGACACGAGTGAGAATATCTAATCAGAACTTAAAAAGAAAAAAATTAGAATAAAATCTACAAGCCCATAGCCTGTACCTAAACTTTTATCTCTCCTAACTACCAACTTTTTGGTTTACCCTCCTTTCTTTTCTTTTGATGGCCCCCAAATGAACATATACCTTTAATAACCGCAACGTGTTTGACTTTGACTCACCAACAAAATTAATAGTGTATATATATAGGGATAAGATTATTTAATACTGATGTCAAATTTTGAAATTTGACATTAAATTATAATTATTGATTTTTATTAATCAGCGATTATTATTTATTAGAAATCTAATTTATTAATTAATTACTAATTATCAATAAATGATAATCGCTGATTGACGAAAATCAACGGTTATGATTTGGTGTCAAATTTTAAAGTTTGACATCAGTGTCAAATCAACGGTAATTAGATTAGTTATAAATGTGGTAAACTTTTTTTGTGGTAAGTATATCCTGCCCAATATATATATATATATATATATATATATATATATATATATATATATATATATATATATGTTTTTTTTCTACAAGTTAGAGATAATTTTATCTCATGTACTCACATAGATTTGGATAGCTTTGCTTTTTCTCTTCCATTCACCTCTTCCCATTGGATCCCACTTATTTTCACGTAAATGTAAGAAATAAAATTATTTTTCTCTTACAGGAGAAACATTAAACTTATATAACCAAATAAATTATAGTTGTTTGATGCATAGAAATCAACAGTTAAAATTGGACGTAAGACGTATTATTCTTACACCGGTGTAAGTTGATCATATTTCATTTATATATATATATATATATATATATATATATATATAAGTCGGGATCATTTTATACCAGTGTAAGTTATACTCTCAATCTTGTTCGCTGATCCCACTTATATCTAAGGGCTCAAATTTTTTAGAAATACGAGCCATTGGATACAAGTGGATCAATGGTCAAGATTGAGTGTAAGACTTTTAACTCTTACACCGGTGTAAGAATATCCTGCGCGTATATATATATATAAGGATATGATCATTTGACATCGATGTCAAACAAAAAATTTGACACTATATCTGAGAGTCATTAATCTTGTCTTAATCTAACAACTCTAATTTGTATGTATGTGATACAATTGATTTGCTTTGATCTAATGACTCTGATTTGTAAGTATGTCAAACTTTTGATTTGACATCGGTGTATATATATCGGGGTAGGCTCAACTTACATCAGTGTAAGAATAATAATTCTTGCACCAAATTTTAATAATGATTTCCATGATTTTAACGGTAGTGATTTATGGTCACACTCATTATTTAATTATTAATTTTCGATAAATTATAATCCATTATTCCTTTGATGGCTATATATATATATATATATATATATATATATATATATATATATATATATTGGAAAAATTACTCTTATGCTACATGTGATAACTTTCTCTTCTACACACCATTCGATAACTGTGCCACCTTTTTCTTTTCTTTTCTTTTTGTTTTTCAGATGGTGGAACCCACAAATTTATCTCTATGCCATGAGATAACTTATCTCCTCTAACATAAGATTATTAAAACCCTATATATATATATATATATATATATATATATATATACATTAAGATTGAAAATCCCTATTCAACTGCTTAATCCTTATTTTAAATTTCACCATTTATCTCGAAACTTAAAAGTTTCTTTATCCTCACAGTCATCACATTATATTTTCGTAGCTTAACCTCCCGTTATATTCATCTTGTTTTCGTCCGCTTATTTGAAGAGAAATTGTGAGCTTGTGGATTTTGTGAAATTGTAAGCTTAACACAATTATTCTGAGAAAATATTTTAGCTTTTGTGAAATAATGTTGTCTTATATATGAAATATTTTTTTACCGATTCATCAATTAATTAACTAATTTCACAAGCGCCACAAACCTCTCACTACTAGAAATGTCTTTATTATCAGTTAATTAACTAATTTCACAAGCGCCACAAATATTTTTTTACTGATTCATCCGTTGAAATTATTGATGGAATTTTCCACGGAATCTGTTTTCCGTCAATAATTTTGACGAAAAATAGATTCCGTCGAAAGTTTTCGACGAAAAAAGAAATTCCGTCGAAGATTTTCGACAGAAAAGGAATTCCGTCGAAATTTTTTGAAAAAAATAAAAGAAAAAGAAATAGAACTTTGTGGACTTTTCGACGGAATTTTGATTTCGTCGATGATTTTCGACGGAATTTCAATTCCGTCAAAGATTTTCGACGGAAAAGGAATTCCGTCGAAAACTTTTGAAAAAAATAAAAGAAAAAGAAATTAAATTTTGTAGTCTTTTCGACAGAATTTCGATTCCGTCGAAAACTTTTGAAAAAAATAATAGAAAAAAAAATTTATGAACTTTTCGACGAAATTTCGATTCTGTCGAAGATTTTCGACGAAAAAGGAATTCTATCGAAAACTTTTGAAAATATTAAATGAAAAGAAATTAAAAATTATGGACTTTAATTCCGTCGAAGATTTTTGACGGAAAAGGAATTCCGTTGAAAACTTTTGAAAAAAATAAAAATAAAAAGAAATTAAATATTGTGGAATTTTTTACGGAATTTCGATTTCGTCGAAAACTTTTGAAAAAAGTAAAAAGAAAAAAATTATTAATTGTGAACTTTTCGATGGAATTTTGATTCCGTCAAAGATTTTTGACGGAAAAGGAATTCCGTCGAAAACTTTTGAAAAAGAAAGGATAAAGAAATTAAATATTGTGGACTTTTCGACGGAATTTCGACGCAAAAGGAATTCTGTCGAAATTTTTTGAAAAAATAAAAAGAAAAAAGAAATTATTAAATGTGGACTTTTCGACGGAATTCTGATTCCGTCAAAGATTTTCGACGGAAAAGAAAATCCGTCGAAAACTTTTGAAAAAAATAAAAAAAAGAAATTAAATATTGTGAACTTTTCGACGAAATTTTGATTCCGTCGAAGATTTTCGACGGAAAAAGTATTGCGTAGAAAATCTTTAAAAAAATAAATGAAAAAGAAAATATATTTGTGTCTTTTCGACGGTTAGGAAAATCCAACATATCGAAGTA